TGTGTTTAGAGAATGTTGTATGTGTTTGCTTACAAGGAATGTAGTGTGTGTGTAGGTGGTGCAGTGTGTGTGTAAGAGATCTAGTGTGTAAAGGACCCAGAGTGTGTATAGAAGATTGTGTGTGTGTAGAGGATTAAGAGTGCATATAGGGTAAGGGATCTACCGTGTATCTGGAGCGTAATGTGTGTAGTGGTGCAGTGTGAGAGGTGCTGTAGTGTGTGTGTGTATATATATATATATATATATATATATATATATATAGCAAAAAACAGGATGCTTGGCACTCTCCTTTAAGTAATAAGAAAGAACTAATAGCCTGGGTGCTATATCCCAAACGTCAGAAATATACAAAAATCAAAACTGAGGATGCACTCACAGGACTTGGTTAAAGTGAAAAAAAGGGACTTTTAATTATTCCATGTGAATGGAAAATTGATTTTTCTGTACATTTCACATGGAATAATTAAAAGTCCCTTTTTTTCACTTTAGGCAAGTCCTGTGAGTGCATCCCCAATTTTGATTTTTGTATATATATATATATATATATATAAAATATATTTGGACGTATTGTATGTGTGAGGTGCGCAGCGTGTTTGTGTAAGAGGGGTGCTGTGTGTAAGGGTGTTTTTATCTGCCGTCACATTCTGTGTTTCTAATTTTATTTGTCTGTTAACTCACTGAGGGTTATTTTATATAATATATATGTGCTGTATATGTGTGGGAGTGAGGGTGCTGTCTGTCTGAGGGTGTTGTGTGCGTCTGGGGGTGCACTGTGTGTGTCTGGGGGTGCGCTGTGTGTGTCTGGGGGTGCGCTGTGTGTGTCTGTGGGGAGCTGTGTGTGTCTGTGGGGAGCTGTGTGTGTCTGGGAGGGGGCTGTGTGTGTCTGTGGGGTGATGTGTGTGTCTGGGGGCTGTGTGTCTGTGGGTGCCAAAATGGGGTGCTGTGTGTGTGTCTGGGGTGCTGTGTGTCTGTGGGCAGTGTGTGTCTGTGGGTGCCAGTGTATCTGGGTGGGGCTGTGTGCCCGTGTGTCTGTGGGGTGCTGTGTGTATCTGGGTGGGGCTGTGTCGGGGTGCTGTGTGTGTCTGGGGGTGCTGTGTGTGTCTGGGGGGTGCTGTGTGTGTCTGTGCTGTGTGTGTCTGTGGGTGCTGTGTGTCTGTGGGGTGCTGTGTGTGTCTGGGGAGTGCTGTGTGTGTCTGGGGGGGCTGTGTGTGTCTGTGGGGTGCTGTGTGTGTTTGTGGGGTGCTGTGTGTGTTTGTGGGGTGCTGTGTGTGTCTGGGTGCTGAGTGTGTCTGTGGGGTGCTGTGTGTGTCTGGGGGGGCTGTATGTGTCTGGGGGGGCTGTTAGGGAAATTATTTTAAATATATTTTTTTATTTTATTAATAATTATAATATTATTATAATTATTAATCATTTAAAAAAAAAAAAAGTTATGTCCCCCCCACCCCCCTTCTTACCTTTAGCCTGGGATGGGGGGAGATCCGTTCTGCGTGGGTGTGGGGAGCCGGGTATCCATGGAGGAGGGGGACCATGCTGCCTTCCCTGGTGGTCCAGTGGTGAGAGTGAACTCTAACCTGCGGGTTAGAGTTCACTCTCGCGAGATCTGAGCGTTGCCGCGGTAACCGTGGCAACGCTCAGAATCCCGCGAGAGGACCGGGCGGAGCTGCTTGTAAGAGCTCCGCCGGGTCCTCTCTCCTCCCTCCCTCCCTCCCTCACCCAGCCGGCGGCCGCATGTAACAGTGCCTGTGGGCCGGTGAGGGAGATCTGTGATCTCCCCACCGGCCCATGGAGGCACACAGCGGGGCCGGCGCTCGGATAGCGCTGGCCCTGCAAGTGCCGGCCGGGGAGATCCTGTGATCTCCCTGCCTGCCTCGGCCCCACGGCCATCGCGGCCCACCGGGCATTTGCCCGGTGTGCCCGATGGCCAGTCCGGGCCTGCCAATCACAAATATGACTCGCAAAGGGGTTAGTAGCACGGTATGGTCCAAAGAGGCTGTGAATGCTTTTGAGACTCTTAAACAAAGATTTGCCTCTGCGGACATACTAAAACATCCCGACACTAGTAAACCTTTTATATTGGAGGTTGATGCATCAGAGACAGGGGTAGGGGCTGTTCTCTCTCAGAGAGAAAGCCAGGGAACACCATTGCATCCTTGTGGCTACTTCTCCAGAAAGATGTCTCCTGCTGAGCACAACTATGATATTGGCAATAGAGAACTGTTGGCCATTATTCTTGCCCTCAAGGAGTGGCGACATCTTTTGGAGGTTTCCAAGGACCCCCTGTTGATCATAACCGACCACAAAAATCTGGCATATATAGGGGATGCCAAACGTTTGTCTTCCAGACAGGCTAGATGGTCACTGTTCCTTTCACATTTTAACTTTCTCATTACTTATAGACCTGGTTCTAAAAATACCAAGGCTGATGCCTTGTCCAGGCAATTTGATAATGAGTCAGCTCCGGAACAGGTGACATCTCCTATTATTCCACCAGAGTGTATTATTGCTACTACTGTCCTCTCACTGTCTTCTCCACTGCTTGGCACCATACTGGAGGCCCAGCCTCAGGCGCCCAGTGGTAAACCGTGTGATAAACTGTTCGTTCCCCTATGTGAAAGGGTTAATATCATGAAAGTGTTCCATGACAATATAACTGCTGGACACCCGGGCATCAATAAGTCCACTGCCGCGATCACTAGATCATTTTGGTGGGATTCACTCAGGAAAGATGTAAAGGAGTATGTGCAGGCATGTTCTGTGTGTGCAGTTTCTAAGGTGACTCATGCACTTCCTTGTGGCCTGTTGCAGCCTCTTCCTGTTCCTGAGATTCCATGGTCCCACTTATCCATGGACTTTATTGTTGAGCTTCCTAGCTCTGCTGGGTTCACTACTATTCTCATGGTTGTAGACCGATTTTCTAAGATGGCTCACTTCATTCCTCTCAAGAAGTTGCCATCTTCGCAAGATTTGGTCCTAATTTTCATACGTGAAATTGTCCGTTTGCATGGCATCCCCACAATATTGTGTCTGATAGGGGCTCTCAGTTTGTGTCCAGGTTCTGGAGGGCGTTCAGTAAACAATTGGGGATTGATCTCTCCTTCTCCTCCTCCTACCATCCACAGACCAATGGTACAGCTGAGAGGGCTAACCAGTCATTAGAAGTTTATTTGCGTTGTTTTATTAATAGCACACAAGACAATTGGTCCGAACTACTCCCGTGGGCCGAGTTCGCTAGAAACAATGCTGTTCATGACTCCTCTGGGCACAGTCCATTTTTTGTCAATAATGGTAGGCATCCCACGGTTCTCCCTGCGGTATTTTCTGATACTGCCATTCCTGCTCTGGATGAGCGTCTGGCCTCCATTCGGGATACCTGGGTTAAGGTTCAAACTGCTCTAGGGGCTGCTGCTGAACGCTTCAAACATTTTGCTGATAAGTGTAGGAGTGCCAACCTGGTGTACCAAGTGGGGGACCGGGTTTGGTTGTCATTTCGCAACATCAAGCTTAAGGTCCCTAGCATGAAGTTTGCCCCCAGATTCCTTGGTCCCTATAGAATGCTTCGTAGGATCAATCCAGTGTCTTACTCTCTTGCTCTTCCTGCATCTTTAGGGATTCCCAACACTTTTCATGTGTCCTTACTCAAACCTATTGTCTGCAATAGATATACTGTTCCTTGTGTTTCTCCCCCTCCGGTGGTGGTGGGTGGTCAGGAAGAGTATGAGGTATCTTCTATCATGGATTCTAGGTTTTCTCGGGGCACTTTACAGTACTTGGTTGTTTGGAAAGGTTACGGTCCTGCTGATCGTTCTTGGGTTTCGGCTCCTGACCTGCATGCGGGCCGTAAGATCCGCGCTTTTCACGCTAAATTTCCTCTCAAGCCTGGTCCTGTCCGCCCGGTGGGCATTCTTCAGGTGGGGGGTAATGTCACGTATTCATCCGCTTATAGAAAAGTGGTTAATGACATTTACTGTCCACACAGGAAAAGTTGTGCCAAGCAGCAACCTAATCCACAGAAGGGTTAATGCTGAGCAGCAATTATGCAAATGAAACCTGGTAACTGACTTTGGGGTCAAAGGCCGGTTACAGCCTATCAGAAAGAAAGGAGGGGTATTTAGGCCCAGTTCTCAGCCTGCTCAGTGCCCTGTCGTGGTTTCCCTTGTGGTTGTCCGAGAGCGCGTTCCTCTTTATAGTTTTCTACCTGTTTTTTTACTTTGGCTTTGTTTATTGACTTCTCTATATTCTGGTATCCTGACTCCTGGCTTTCCTCATCGCTGTGTCCCTTTCTGTGTTCCCTGACCTCGGCTAGTATTTTTGACTATTCTTTGTACGTTAAATCCGGCCATTCTAAGGACCGGTAATACGTTACTTATTTGTCATCCGTGCTGTACAGTTCTACGTGCTGGATCAAACAGTAATCCTGACAGGCAGGAAGGCAACTGCAATTACATTACACAGAAAAAAAAAAGCAGACTGATGTTCTAGCCCTAAAAAGGGCTTTTTGGGATGCTGTCCTTACAGCAGAGATCAGATGAGTCCTTCAGGACTGTACTGGACACTGAATACACTAGCCTAGCTATCAATTTCCCTATCAAATCAGCAGCAGCTACACTGTCCCTCCTCTCACTAAGAATGCAGCTTCACAATGAATGTAAAATGGATGCTATCCAGGAGGTGGGAGGGTCTGGGAGGGAGGCTCTGCTACTGATTGGCTGGAATGTGTCTGCTGACTGTGAGGTACAGGGTCAAAGTTTACTCAATGATGACGAATAGGGGGCGGACCGAACAGCGCATATGTTCGCCATCTGTGGCGAACGCGAACAAGCGATATTCGCCAGCGAACCGTTCGGGACATCACTAACTAACATACATACACACTCACATATATATATTTTTAATTTTATTTAATCCCCCAGCCTCCCTACCTTTGGGAATGCTTTGGGGATTCCTGCTGTCCCTGGGGTCCAGTGGGGTCCTGCTGGGCAGCCGGCCGGGCTGCTGGGCGCGCGAGGGAGGGAGCACTCTCCTCTGAGTGCTCTCTGCCCAGCTCCCTCGCACTGCTAACGGATGCCAGAGCCGGAATATGACGTCATATTCCGGCTCCGGCATCAGTTAGCAGCGCAAGGGAGCTGGGCAGAGAGCACTCAGAGGAGAGTGCAAACTGAAGCCACTGCCAGCCTTGGGGGGCCCTGAGGTGGCCGGCTCCTGGGCCCCCCAGGAGAAGAGGCTGGCAAAATGTGGCCACACTGGTGTGCAGACGCGACCCCTGCGACCCCGGTATGTACGCCACTGGTTCAGTGTCTGCATGCAGTGGGAGGAGATACTGAATCACAGGATGCTCGTGCACAGCAGATCTGAGTGGATGTGCCTCCATCAACTCAGAAGTCTCTCTGGTTCACTCTGAGTGACGGCAACTGGAGGTGTTCCAAGCTTTCAATGTAATCACTGTATTTTCTCAGAAAATACAGTGTTTACATAAGATAGGCTGCAGGAAGCTATAGTTCTCACCTGAACAATCTCATTAAGCTGAAGTTGTTCAGGTGACTATAGTGTCCCTTTAATTCTTTAAACATACCCATTTGCTATAGTGCCACCTATTGGTTACTTCCAAACCAGCTTGTTATATACCAGGGGTAAGCAACCTGTGGTACTTTGCCATGCATGGCAAGTGGGTTACGTTTGCATGGCATGTGAGGCTGCTGATCCAAACAGGCAGGATGGGGAAATCAAGGAGCTGGCCCAGAGTGTCCCAGCGATCAGAGCACAAGGGAGCCTGTGATTTCCAACTGACACCACAGGAAACCTTGTCTTTTTATACCTTAACCTCAATATTACATGTTCCATTATTTGGATTAATTTAATATGAACCTTTTTAAAGGTGATATTTTAAGTTTCATTTTGATTCTATCCGATGAACTGCATATGGCAAAACAGTTTGAAGGTATCTACATGAAATACGGATGAAGAAAATGTTTTTAGTCTTATCACTGTTAAATTAGTGGAAGTTGTTGGAAATTTTATACTTATACAGGTATATCTATCGTTGTATTTTAGTTGCACGGGCATTTTAACTTGAAGAGTAATCTTTCTCTTAGTAAAGGGCCCCTAAAGAGTAGGTCTCAAGATGTTATAGAACTAAACTCCCATGATTCTGTTAGTCTTTAGAATGACAATGCATCATGGAAGTTGTAGTTTTAAAATGTCTCGTGATCTCTTTTTTTTGAGCACCCCTGCCCTAAACTGAGCACTGTATGAGAGTTTACTAATATTAAAACCATAGAAAAACAAGCATTTTTTGCACATACTGAACAAAATATAACAATCAGTGACCTTTGTATTGAGAGGCTCACTATGCCGTGCTGATTTAAGTATTTTTGCACAGCAGTAGGTTCTTAGAGGAGCTCAACAAAGTGAGCAATTTATCTTACTGAACGCAATACAGAGTATAAATAATGAGGCAAAAAGGCAAATCCATTGTTTAAAACCTCTGCTTTTTTTAAACTACTCATATGTGCTAATGCAATCAATATACATGGGTGTTTGCATATGTGGAATTTCTACAGAAATATCTTGAACCATGAAAATGTCTGTCCTACTCTACTAAGACTGTCTGTCTGCCATGATGTCAGTCTGTGTTGTTTCTACAATACAAGTATGCTAAAATTCGATGTATTAGCTAAAAGCGCTTTTTGAAAAGGTCCATATACAGAAAAATCAAGTCGTCTGTGATCTACAGGCATTCTATAAGCATTTGTTTATTGTGATCATTTCTAAACTGTGTAATATCTATGTGTGTTTACTGCATTCTTTATCTATATATTTCTATGACTTATGTCAGGGTAATTAACTAAAGTCTAAATCAAGCATGTCAAACACAAAGGCTAAGACGGGCCAAATAAACAAGGTTTACATTTATGTGGGACGCAAAAAAAAACAAAATGTCCGTTTTCATAGAAACATAGGTTTATTTAGAAAGGTACAGTATAAAAAAAGTTGCCTGACACTGGACGTCCTCTGGACTGACTGCCCCCTTTACCAAATCTAATACATTGCCGCTTAATCTAATACACTGCCCCTTCTCCCTCCACTCTAATTGAATAGACTGCTCCCACTCCACTTTAATACACTTTCCTCCCTACCTGTAATTTAACTCACTGTCCCCCACCACTCTAGTTCACTGGCCCCCTCCCTCCCTCAAATAAATAAATACACTGACCCCCTCCCTTTCTCAAATAAATACACTGCCCCCTCCTGTCTTCAAATACACTACCCGCCCTCCCCGATTATTACACTGGCCCCCTGACTTCCCCAAATTAATACAGTGCCCCCTCACTTCCCCAAATTAATACACTGCCACCCTCCCTCCCATTAATACACTGCCCTCCTCCCTCCCATCAATACACTGCCCTCCTCCCTCCCATCAATACACCGCCCCTCCCTCCCATTAATACACTCCGCTTAATACACTGTAGGCTCCCTCCCCTTAATACAGTGCCCCCCTCCCTCCCTGCCATTAATACTCTGCCCCCTCCATCCTTCCCTCCCTCCTATTAATACACTGTCCCTCTCCATCCCATTAGTACACTGCCCCCCTCCTCCCATTAATACATTGCCCTCCCTCCCATTAATACACTGCCATCCTCCTTCCCATTAATACACTGCCCCGGTCCCTCCCATTAATACACTGCCCCTCCCTCAAATCAATACACTGCCCCCTCCTGCTCATAAATCCAGTACATCACCCCCCCTCCACTGTTATACACTGCCCCTTTCACCCAATCTAATACATTGCCCCTTAATCTAATATACTGCCGCTCCTCCCTCCACTCTAATTGAATAGACTGCCCCCACTCCACTTTAATACACTGTCCTCCCTACCCCTAATTTAACTCACTGTCCCCCACCACTTTAATACACTGGCCCCCTCCCTCCCTCAAATAAATAAATACACTGACCCCTTCCCTTCCTCAAATAAATACACTGACCCCTCTTTCCTTCAAATACACTGCCCTCCCTTCCCAATTTATTATCCTGGCCCCCTGACTTCCCCAAATTAATACAGTGCCCCCTTAAATTAATATACTGCCCCATCCCTCCCATTAATATATTTTGTCAATTGCAAGTCTTTTTTCACACCTAAATAACGAGGTACTAGAGCTGCCAGAAGTTATGGTTTGCAAGACAAAGAAGCAGAAAACCGACAAGCCCAGAACGGGCATGAATATCAAAGACCTCCTTAGGCAAGCACACGTAGCATGCAGGCCCAAGATAAGTGCCGACATTGAGCCACAGACTTACCCTCCCTTCCTCGACCTCAGACAGTCCTGTAGAATGCTGACTCGAATCCAGTGACAAAAGCCACTCTGAAGGAGCTTCAACATAGCCTCCAGTTAACATTACAGGCTGACATGGCCTCACTTCATGTTGACCTTACTGGTTTGGTGAGCCGATTGGGGACAGTGGAGACAGTAGAGGCAGACCAAGCTCAGAAGCTTACCACTCTCACCAACGAAGTGTAGACTCTCAAGACGCAGCAGGCAGCCTTCGAACACCGCTTTGTGATGATTGAAGACAACAGCGCTGGAATAACCTCAAGATACCAGCAGCTGGACTTGATGTTTAGGCTGATTGGGGCCTTGCTAAAAGAAAAAGAAGTGGAACAGCGCTAAAATAACTGGTCACAATGGGGCTGCACACCTGGAAAAAAAGGGTAACCCTCAAACCCTTCAAAGAAAACCGGAGGAATAAAACAAGAGATACAGGGTGCGCCAAAAGCTACAAATTGGCTAAAATGATAATATAAGAATAAAAAAGTACCAAATAAGAATAGGAAAAGTATTTGAGGACACAATGGTCTTCCAATTTTCAAATCACGATAGTGGAGTAACTCCCGGTATCATTAGCATATGCAAAAGAAAACACAAAGAACAATGTTGCAATATTGTTGATGAATGGCCTTTAGACAACACTTATTTGCAAATTGTCAACTCACATTCTTTGGAGTTTTGACTAGCTCTAGGTAAAAGAGCATACAGTGGTATTTAAACTCCCCACTTGCAGGATATCCCTTAACAATAGTTGTGGTGCAGGTCATATGCAATAAAAGAAAAGGAGAAGACCGATAGTGCTCTCTGTTTGTGGAAGTAGAATAGTAGTAACAAATATACTTACAAACTGGAGAGCAGACAGACCGCTCTATGTGCCAGGGGTGGGTGGAACAATTCCCACTTAGGATTTGTTTGACGATGGTCCAGATCTACCGTATAATGGTATGTGCCAGGTATAAATAAGTAAATTAAAAGTATAAAGACTAACCCAAAGAAAATAGGCAATCACAAATGAACTTTTATTTAAACAAATAGTTAAAACACAATGCATGTTACCCTATTAGGCTTTTTCAAGTGGAGTAAAAACATTGATTGGGGCCTTGCTAGCATTTGATGGGATATTCCGAATGCCGAAGCCTCAAAACGCTCTGGAGTCAGCAACCAGAGACCTTGTGGTCAGACTCAGCAGCGGAAGGGAAAAAGCAGCAGTGCAGGCAGCTATAAAGGGGGCTTCACCATTCCCTTTAGAGAATATGGCACTCACGTTCTATACCAATCTGTCTGGGAACACCCTGAAATATCTACAACCCTTTACCACACTACTCCGCACCCACGATATGCAATACCGTTGGCGATCACAGCGGATACTTCACATACTGAAAGGAGATTGCGCCCATACTGTTCGGCATCCGAAGGAAGCAACTGCCATTTTGGAAACCATCAGCTTCTCACGAGATTCGCTATCTCGACACGGAACAAACAGTGCTACTGCAAAAACACATACCTGGGACCCTCACAAGAGTTATCCCATTCATACTTCAGAGGGCCTTCTCGGACGCATATGCTATGGCCACAACCTGAGGCTACACAGGACTTTCCTGGCCCCAGGAAGTAGATACCTATGTCTATAATTTCACAGTTAAATTTCCCCTGATTTATTCTTTAAATTGTTTTCATACTATTATTATTCCAGACTTTATACATCGTACCATCCAACAGTCACAATAGTATCCTGCATTCATAAAAAAAAAAAAAAAAGCCCAAATCTAAGTTTAGTCCATATGTACTGTAACAAACCACCTCTTTTACAGGTAGGATTGTCACAAATCTTGCAGTAACCACAG